CGGCGAGAAGAACCACGCCGCGGAGATGTGCGGACTCCTGGCCTGCTCCATCATGGATTCCAGCTACCGCAGATGGACGCGGCCAAGAGACCACCAGGCTGGGGACTTGGAAGGCGACCCGATGAACTTCTACGCCCCCCTGGACCCGAATTACTACATGTACTGGAGCACGAGACTACACGACCAAGTTTAAGGGGCAATGGGCACTGCAGGCAGGCGACGGATGGTGGCCACCCCGCAAATGCGGGCCACGGCGGTCCATTGCTTAGTATACAGACAATACTCTCAGCGGTGGTTCTGGCACGCCTCACCGCGGCGTCCGTTCGCCCGCCCTGTTAAAAAGGAAGCTCCCCCCCCCAATACTATGACCTGCGCAATCTCCAATCTCTCATTTGACCACCGGAACCGTAGCGCTGCTTTGGCTCAAGAGCTGAGCACTGGCGACCCGCGCGCACCTTGCGCCACCTTTGCGAAGAGCAGCACATCATGAAGCCTCCTTTGGATCTACATCCTCATAGGCTTACAGTACCTCATGAAGATCAAGAAGAAGACATCTGGATACCTGCAGACGCGTTTGGCAAATTACCCAGGTTCATCGACATCGCCGAGGTCAAGCTCCACTGCGCCAACGGAGTCATTGACTTAGACCACGCCAACCAGCGACGAGTTGCAGTTATCAACTCAGCACCACGAAAAACAAGAAGCGAGGCACCACCTGAATACCGACAAGAAGGAATGCCGACCCTCATGGCCTGAAGCAAGGGCTACGACAACAAGAAGGCGCTTATCCACGCCCCAGGAGACCCCCAAGCAGAACCACAGAGCGCGGCTCGTTGCACCGGCATCGCAAGGCCATCCCTTGTCGCGCAACTACACCTGCGTCTACCTCGACCTGGGATATACCTACGTACCTGCAGTAGTGAAAAGAGGCTTCGTACGCACCACCTACCGACAGCAACTGGGGAGTGATGGAAGGACGCGGAAAAGGAGAGCTGGATTACTGCACTGGGAAACTTCATCGTGCACTCCAAAAGCGGGTTATGGACCGACGCAGACCGTTGGACGGATCGACCTGGCCATTGCCCCCATTGCCGCACTGCTGCAAGATACCGCGCACAAGGAGATGCTGCAAACGACCGCGACCCCAAGAAGATCCCCATCCACGACTTGGCGTGGCACGACATCCAAAGGCTGGCAACCACCGAACCACGACTACTACAAGCACCACCTTGGAAGAACAAGGACGAAAGGCCCTTCGCGAACCTCCAGGCGCTGCACATCCTCAAAAGGAAAGGCATGGAAAAGCGCCACAACTTCGAGGAGATAGAGCGCAAAGCCATCCACGGCAACACAGAGAGATTCACCGAGAATGCGCACATCTTGGCAATCACCGACATCTACGGCACGCTGCACCACACCTCGGAGATTGGTATACTGGCAGCATGCGCAAAAGACATCGTGGAAACCAGCGGAGGAGGAGCACTACACCCATACCCGGACAACTACATACTACCCGTCGATCGCCATCACATCACTCCACAGACCATCGGCGGACTGCACTGCGAAGAAACTGACCTCAGAGGACATCGAGTACCATTATACTTCTACCACAAACGAAAAATCGCACGCCTATCAGCATGGACAGGTACAGACCGAACGCCACCACTACCCACAAAGGAGATCGACCACGTGACGATCCTAAAAGGTGAGCTCACCCACCAGCGACTTCCACAAATGGCCCTCCATCATAGACAAAGCCCTCATCGAATACCCAGTCAAGATACTACACGAGATCACCACGACCTCGGAGACATGCGCAACAATAATCGACGGAACCACCAACGTCCACACGGATGCACACAAGAAGGATATCATCGTTCACCACGTCGACTTGACCACAGATGGAGATGCATCACCAGAGATAGAACAGACCTGGTTACGAACCACCAGTATACCAGCCACCCACAGAAATACTGCTGGGCGGCACCATGCTGATCAAGGCCAACGACATCGACAAGATACCTGAACAGGATGCCCACAAAGCAACGCAGTACCTCATCGAGGACGAGGACAACCACAGTACTCGGCACTTGCTCCAGCACCACCAGAATTTGCGCAACACTGGCTTTCAGCCCACCAACTGGACCCAGAGCTACTGCCCCGAGTGGAACGCAGCCTTTCCAGAAGTCCGACCACAACAAGCGTTGCGACCAGCGCGCCAGCAAACGCCGACCTGCAGCTCATACAAAGAAGGACAACACCACAGGTCCGACAAACTATCCCGCCACCTATGCCGACGATCTTCCAGCTCATATACAACCAGAACGTGACGCCGACAAAGCACCAGCCGCCACCGCCACAGGGACCACCACCAGGCAGAGCCCCAATACAAACACAACGACGACGCCGACTCCTCGATACTTCCGCAACCCAGTCGCTCCGCAGAAGTACAAACTACGCGACATCCTGCGGCGCGACCCAGACCGCGTTGCAATGCTGCCACCAGGATGGCAGGCCGCCGCCGCCGTAAACAGGAGCCTCGCCGACTACCACAACATGCAGACAGGCGCCACTCAGTGGAAGTTCCCAGGCGACGTCGACTACGACCCATGTTGCACTCGACAGCTAACGGGCCCGAACGTCGAGGCCTTCAGCGTCAACAGGGACGGCTGCTTCGATCACGCCGATATTCCCCCCTCCCAACGACCACCCCCCAATGCCGGAGCACCCTGTGAAACGAGGGCAGGTCGACAAAGCAATGACACAGACCATCTGCGGCCTACTCGGTAACCTGAGGACCCAATACCAACAGGAACAAGAAGCACACGAATGGGTCGACCGAGCACAACTGTGGTACAGCAACATCGCAAGCGGTACCTTTTTCTCCCACCTCAAGGTCAGCGTGGAATCCAGGCCGTTCCTTACCTTCGGCAACAACATGCTAGTGGTCGCACCCATACTTGAGGGAGGCCCACATCCTCCACCGCATCAAGCAGCTACGCAGCCCCAGACCAATATTTGCACCATACCACGACCGAAGCACTTTCGACCGCGAGATACACATCGAGATACGATCGACTCGAGACGCGAACACACACGAAGCCACCACGCACAAGAACGAAGACACGACAATGACTGAGGGCAACAACATGGCGCACCGACCTAAGGACGAACCACCTACGAACAACTCAGACGTCTCTACCAGCGCAACCCCATCAAACATAACACCAGTACTGACTCCCAACCACCCGCAGCGACCAACCCAGCATAGCGGCACGACCCCAGCAGCGAAGCCTCCGAGATTCAAGGCACCACCCGCCCCAGTCCGAGAAGAAGAAGCACTACAACCTACAGACGTGATCGACGACGAGGTTAAGACCAGACAGCACGATCTTGACATACAGGAGCAGCACACAACCATCAGGGAACCTTGCTGCCCCAACCCGGCGCCCAACGACAGCATAACAGCACCAAACGCCAACCAACCATCCGCCATGGAAGTCGTACCACAGGGGCCCAATGGCTGGTTCCCCATCGCCAGGATCACGCGCGAGAAGGTCAACCCCGACGCAATCAACTTCCCGATGGAGACAACCACACGCCGCTCGCCCCACGCCAAGTTGCAGGACTCTCTCGACCACGGCACCAATCACAGTGAGCGAGGGGGCGAGGTCCCAATCATCAGCATGTCCTACAACAATAATGGCGACCTATGGGCACGGGCCACCATCACCCAGACCAGCGCCATGCGGAACACCAAACAGTCTCTGATATCAGACATCATCACCGAGTACCAGTCCCAACACAACGACATCCAGGAGAAGCTCGACATCCTGACGACAACGGTTGGCAAACAACATACCAGCTACAACCAGACCCTCAACATCCAGCAGGAGATCACCCTGGTCAAGGAACTCATATCCAAGCTCATCGACAGCCTCAAGGACTCCATCGGCAAACTACGCCCATGAACCTCGGCGATAGCCATCCTCGCCACAACTACCAATCACTGGACGACCGCACGAGGTGCCCATGGGCCCGACGTCGTCACAGCCCACGAAAACGACATCCCGACCTCCGACTCACGCTCCAACCACTCTCCATGAGCTGCAACCTCCAGAACTTCATCTCCCTCGTCATCAACAACAGCCATGTCCTGATGCACGCCCACCTCTACTTGAACTTCAACCTCCCCATCGCCAGCAACTACATCCTCGTCCTGAAATACTTCCACCTCTCCAACTACATCCTTGTCCTGAAATACTTCCACCTCTGAAAGGGGGAGATGGGGAGGGATAGCAATGGTTAGGCTGCGGGGATGGGTGGGGGTAGGGTGGGGCGGGCGCCGCCCGCTTCGTCCCGCAGCCCCCCTCTCTCGTCCTCCCCTCCTCGTTCGGAACTTCGTGCGTGTCCCTCCCTTTCGACCTCCTCTTTTCGGTTCCCCGTCCGTTTCTCCCCCCCCCGTTCGTCGCCGGCCCACCACATATGGCGGAGCGGCCCATTTTCGGAATGGCCCCCTCCTACGGCACCACCTTAAGGTACCCGCAGGAGGGGGCCACTGGCAGCACCTCTGAGGATCCACATGTCACTACTATCAATATCAGGAGGATGAGGACGGGGAGAAGGAGGAGGAGGAGGAGGAGGAGGAGGAGGAGGAGGAGGAGAAGGAGAAGGAGGAGGAGGAAGGAGGAGAAAGAGGAGGAGGAGGAGGACGGGGAGGAGGAGGAGGAGGAGGAGGAGGAGGCGGAGGAGGAGGAGGGAGGAGGAGAAGGAGCAGGCGGAGGATCCGCCGAGGAGTTGCGGCAGGTTCGCACGACGACAACGTTGGCATGGGTTTCTGACACCACGTGGATCGTTCATCTTGAGTGATCGCAGATCTCGGATAGCGCCAGATCGTTCGATGTTGGCCGTTTCCAGGCCACTGGCGGCGTTCAGCATTGAACGCCTGGCTGGGGCCGCCGCCGCGTCAGTGCGGCGCGAGCACACTGCGGAGGGGTGTCCTCGAGCTGGACCTCCACAACCTGCTTGAGGTACACCGTGGTGATGCTGGGGTACGACGGGCTGTTCGAGATCTCCGTCCTCCTGCAACGGGCGGGCGACATCGATATCCATGGCCTCGCGGCCTGAACCCTTCTGCGGCGACCCCACACATATGCAGGGCGGCATTGCGCGGAGTCTCCGCGCGAAGCGTGTCAATGGGATCGCGTATCCCTGGGATCGCGTGTCGCAGTCCAGGCTCGGAAGGCATGGATACGGGGCTGTTCTACGAAATATTGCGAAAAACTGTCCCTGCACCCCTCCCGGGGCCGATCTGGGCAAGCATTTGATCCCGTGCCCCATTCTTGACACAAGCCCGGGACCCGAAAACGGCCCTGTAACACCGAAAACGATGAAACAAGTGTACAGTCGGCCCGTATCAAAACGATGCGCGATAAGGATGCAAGGGCCTTGGGAGGCCATCTCGAACGCTTTCGAGCGGGGCGGGGCCAACAAAAGTGGCCAAGGACGGACCGAGGAAGCCAGGACGCAAGGGCACCCTGGGGAACGTCGCTCATCCTTACTGTGCGGGTTGGCTGTATCCTCGACGGTCGAGGATCCCCCTGGGATCGACGACCCCAGCAACCCCCCTCGCGCTCCTGGGCCCGAAGGTGGTCTTGGCGCTGGAGAAGGGGATGTCGAGCTCCGCGAGCAGGCGGCGCACCGCCCAGATCGCGTCCTGCCACGCCCGAGCCCGCTCCGGTGGCAACTCCTGGGAGCCTCCCGTGCAAGCCTGCCGGCTCCTGCGAATCGACGCTGGTCGACGCTAAATCGGAGCCAACCGACGCGAATCGACGCTACATCGGCGCTACCTCGTGGACTCCCAGACGCTAATCGACGCCAGTCGACGCTGAAGACGGAATTCAGAGGGTATGCCAGGCTCCCATGACTTGCTACCAGGCACGGGGGGCGCCGGCGCGCGGAGGATCGCGAGCTCGGTCAGTATCGAGCCAGGGACCCCGATGGACTCGGAGGTGTGCGTGGGGCGGGGCCGCATCGGCACGGAGACGCCATCGAATGGGATCGGCCGCGCCAGGACGCACAGCAGCGCCATGCAAACATCGGGCAACATCTGACGGTCGGAATGTGGCAAACTAATTGGATCGAGCCGGCCGAACTCGATATCGAATCGGGTCGATCGGATCGAAGACCTCAGGATCGAGGCTTCGGAGCTCCTGGGGAGCAGGTTGCTAGGCGCTTGCGGGCACCCAAAGGTCAGAATTCGTTGCGTGTGGACTGTAGGGGGGCCTCGTGGCTCAGGAAGTCCATCCAGGGCTCACTCACGAATCTACGGTGTGGCGCGTCGGCCAAACAGGATAAGGCAGACTCGAGGCGCGGCGAGAACGAGCTGGGAAAGAACAAGGATGAAGAGGAATAAGAACAGGAGTATCGAGGATGAGAAGGAGGGCGAGGAGGAGGGATGATGATGCTGACGATGCTGATGTTTATCATGCGGATGTTGGTGATGATGGTAGTGATGGTGAGGAGGGGGATCATGATGACGGTGCTGATTACGATTATGATGAGGATGGTGATGCTAGTGGTTTGGATGATGACGGTGATGATGACGATGACGATGATGATGGTGATGCTGAAGATGACGATGGCGATGATGATGATGAGGATACTGATGACGATGTTTTTGCAGCGGGCCGACGATGGCGCCCGTGACAATCGATGAACGGGGAGTCGTTCAGTGCCAGCTATTTACGCGTCAGCAGGTTAGCCACGGTCATACATACGCGCGCAACGCCAGAGCCTCGGGCGCCGACGAGACCAAACCACCGCAACGGGTGGGCGCCAAGGGGGGCAGCAGGCAGCAGCAGGGAGGGAGGACGAGGAGGGGGCCGATCGATCGATCAAGGCCAAAATAAAATCAGCTAAGCTTGCCACCAGAACATTATAAGGGCGGTTGGTAGGAACGACCCGCTGCGGCAGCGGGGCAGGGAGTCTCGAACATGTCCCGACCTCGCGCGCGCAGGCAAATCAGAAAGGCCGACGCGTGTCAACAAGGAGGGCTCAACCTAATCGCATTCAGCTGAGCTGCACTAGGTGCAGGACCGCAGACCCTCGTCGGCAGACATGGTCGGAACCCCACGCAGGTGACCGCAGAGAGCAGGGCCGACTACCCAAGGAACAAAGACACTGAAACGAAAAAACACAAAGCAGCAGGAGCGGAAACCAGGGGGCCCACCTAAAACGGCAACAGTTTTTTTAAACAAGAGAGATCAGAGACGATCGAATTCGGGGGGAGCAGCCGCGGCTCTCCTGCGCACGCGATCGGCAGGAGGGGCGTCGGGGCGGCCGCGGGGGGGCACTCTCGATCACTGTCTCCTGCAGCAGAGAGAGGCTGGGCGGACCTCGCGGCCGCCGCGAGCTCCACCAGGGCGGCGGCAGCAGAGCAGGCAGGGAGAGGGGAGGACAGGAGGGCCGGATCCATGGGAACGAAGGGGAGGAACGACGTCGCACCGAGCTCCCCTAGATAATATTGGGCCTCGTCAAAACGGCCGTCGTACAGAAGAGAGGCCACCTCCTGTGATGGACACCCAGCCTCCTCAGAGGCACTAGACTCCGACGGAGAGAACGTGCTAAAGACACAGCGGCTCCCATACTTTGGACAAGATCTCATCCTGTTTGCTCTCGATACCGCTTTGCTTGAACTCACAGGTGAAGGCGATCACCCACGGCTGCACGAACACCGACGGGGGCGTCTGAACGCAGTACATCTTGATCGCATCGCCCGTATAATCATTAGAGATGAGCGCGACGCCATTCCCGACCGAGGAGTCTACTGACCAGCCCGCGAGCTGCGGGGTCGACTTGACGACTGACTCGACCTCCGAACGGATATTGCCCATCACGGTTAGCGGCTTGGTGGTCTCACCGTCCCTGAGAGGTTAAAGACGCAAAAGTGCGAGGGCCCTGGGGAGTCGTGAGCTCGAAACCGTCAGGGTAGTTCTGGCGGAACGTCTCGATAGTCTCAGACGCTGCATCGCCCGACGAGAACGCAACAACCACTTTCTTCGAGAAGTTCTGCGGGGTGACCTTCATCTGCTGCAGGGTTTCGGCCCGAGCGCATGCTGTCAAAATTGCCGTCCTCGCCTCGGCGAGGACCTTACGAGCGAACTCATCCCCGAAGCCCACAACAATCCCCTTGGAGAGCAGGTCCTGATTGCCAAGTTTAACACGAGTACCGAACGTAGCCTTCTTCGCCACGTTGCCCACACTGCCATCGTCGCTGCTGAGACCGGCGCTGGTGCTAACGCCACCGCTGTTCGCCAACGACTTTAGAGCAGCCAACGCCGCATCCCTCTCTGCCAGCTTCTTCATCTGCTGATCCAACCCTTCCTGCATCCCCTTTCATGGCCTCGGCAATCTCTGCTACCTGATCAGTGACCTTCGTGATCGAACTGGTCAACGCAGCCACCTGAGCCGTCAGATCCGCGACCGCTTTCTCTGTCGAGGACGGCGCCATTGCACTACAGAACAGAGCACTGGCTGAGAACGAGCGGGCGATCCGATCTGGTCGGAAGGAGAGGGGCGCAGAGCAGAGCAGCTATGTCCAGGATTCGAGCTGTCCCCTCAGCTGCGAGCAAGCTCGAAACACCAGGGATTAATGTTTCGAGCTTGAGCCAGAATGGCTACGGAAGCTAATGATGATGATGTTGATGATGATGATGCTGATGGTGATGATGATGATGATAATGCTGCTGATGAGGGCATTGATAAAGATGATGGTGATGATGGTGGTGACTATGCGGCTGCTGCTGATAATGACGATGATGAAGAGGAGGAGGAGGAGGAGAAGGAGGAGGAGGAGGAGGAGATGTAGGATGCTGGATGCTAAATTGTTCCTCGTTGCTCGCCCTCCGCCCAGTGCACAGAAGGAGGGGGGCATGCGCAGAGGCGATGCCCCTGCGAGCGGCCCGTGGTGGGCCGGGCGCACGTCCCTCCCTCGTCCTCACCTGATATTCCTCCCGTTGCTCCTCCTTTTCCTTTTCCTCCCTGTCCTCCTCCTCCTCCTCTTCTTCCTCCTCCTCCATCTCAGCGGCTCAGCGGTAAGGATGGTCTTGTCGAACGAGCGACTGAAGCCCTCGAGCCCCCGCCCCGCTGTCTGCGGGGGGAGGGCAAACAGGAACCAAGAGGTGACGAGAGAGGAAGCAAGAGGGAGGACGGATACCTGTGACCATCGAGGGGCGGGTGGAAAGAGGGGGAAGCTAAGTTCCGGCGCTGCGCGGGTGACGAAATGGACGTCCTGCTCCATCTCATCCTCCTCCTCCTTTTCCTTTTCCTCCTCCTCCTCCTCATCCTCCTCCTTTTCCTCCTCCTCGTCCTCCTCCTCCTCCTCCTCCGCCTCATCCACCTCGTCCTCCTCCTCCTCCTCCTCTTCCTCTTTCTCCTCCCTCTCCTCCCCCTCCTCCCCCTCCTCGTTTTCCTCGTCCTCCTCGTCCTCCTTCTTCTCCTCCTTTTCTTCCTCCTCCTCCTCCTCCCCCTCCTCCTCCTCCTCCTCCTCCTCCTCCTCCTCCTCCTCGTCCTCCTTGTGCCTGTCGGCTCTGCCCTCGGCGTCTGGTCGACACATCGGGCTCTGGCAAGTTGTTCCCTCGGGCCCCGCCGTGGCGTAACCGGAGCGGGGCCTCGCTCTTTGCTGCAGGCCGTCTGCCAACATCGAGGCTCGAGTGCCGACGAGGCTCGGATGCTCGAGATCGACGAGGCGCAGAGGCTCGAGGCCAGCAAGGCTCGAGGCCCGAGGTCGACAAGAGGGTTCGAAGCTCGAGGGGGAGGATCGGGGGCCGAAGAAGCTCGAGGCTCAAGGTCGACAGGAGCGCAAATGGGGCGCAAGACGAGGCCAGCCAGGACCACAACGAATTCGGACGGGGATGGATCAGTGGTTCTGGGGCACGTGTCCTGGTCCCGGAGGCCAAGCTCCCGCGAGGGGCTCGGGCGATCGAGGTCTGGGGGGCTCGAGGATGTCAGGCTCCTGGGGTTTCTGCGCCCTCTTGCTGGACCTCGGGGCACCAGGCGATATCGATGAGAGAGCGCGTTTCACGGGCGCTCGCCTTGGGAACATTCGGCGGCGCGTTTCGAACCGGGGGTGGGCCCCCCCCCCAACACTCGGCGCCGTCGATCAAAACCAGGGGGACTCCCCTCACCCCAACCCCCCCCCTCCCGACCCCCCCCCCTCCCCTCCCAAGGGGGGGGGGGGTCAAAACCCCACCCTCCGCAGGCGCCGGCGCCGGCGCTGGCGCTGGCGGCCGCCAGCAGCGCCGACGGCGGGAACGCAGCGACGATGACCAGAGGCAGCCCAAGGAAAGAAGGTGGGGGTCAAAACCCCCCCTCGGCGCCGGCGCCGGCGCTGGCGGCCGCCAGCAGCGCCGACGGCGGGAACGCAGCGACGATGACCAGAGGAGAAGCAGCCCAAGGAGGGGGGGGGGGGACAACCCCCCCCCCCGGCGCCGGCGCTGGCGGCGGCCACCAGCGCTGGCGCTGGCGCCGGCGACGGCGGGGACGCAGCGACGATTACCACCACTACCACCACCACCACCGCCTTCACCAAGCACCACCACCACCAACCCACCACACCACACCACCACCACCATAGCCACCACCACCACCACCACCACAACTCACCACCACCACCACCACCACCACAAACACCCACCACCACTACCACCACCACCACCACAATCTACCACACCACCGCCACCGTCACAACCACCACCACTACCAGCAGCACAACCCACCACCACCACAAACCACCACCACCATCACCACCACCACCCACCACCACCACCACCACCACCAGCACCACCTCCACAAAGCGCCGCCACCACCACAGCCCACCACCACCACGACAAACCACCACCACACCACCACCAAACAACAACCACCACCACCACCACAACCCACGACCACCACCACCACCACAAACCACCACCACACCACCACCAAACCACCACCACCACCATCACCACCACCACCACCCACCACCACAACCACCACCACCACAACAAACCACCACACCACCACCAAACCACCACCACCACCATCACCACCACCACCCACCGCCACAACCACCACCACCACAACAAACCACCACACCACCACCACCACAACCACCACCATCGCCACCACCACCACCACAACCCACCACTACTACCACCACCGTCGTCCTCGTTGACGCTCCCCGCCGCCGCCGCCCGCCGCCGAAGGCGCCGGCGGCGGCCCAGAAAAAGACATCGTCGTCCCCGTCGCCGCCGCCAGCCGCTGCCGACGCAGGCGCCGGCCCGAGGACAGGGAGAGAGGAGAAGTAGGATAGGGGTGGGTGGGTGTTCGAACCCCCCCCCCCTTCCGTCACGGGACGGGACGGGGGGGGGTTCGAACCCCCCCCCCCTCCATCCAAGGGGGGGGAGGGTCCAGTTCCAACCCTCCCCCCCGCCCGGCTCCAAGCGACCACAGAACGCACTCTTTCGTATCTCGACCCAGGGCCCACTTTGTGAAAACGCGATGCGGGGGGCGTCCGTTCTCGACCGGGGTGCGCCCGTCCGGCCTCCCGATTAGGGGCGCGTCCTCGAGTTCCCCCCCCCTTGTCCTGGACGGCCAATCGTTGGAGACACGCCCGGCGAGTGGCTCGGGCGATGGCGGGACGTGGCTCGAGGCTCGAGGCTCGAGGCGCCGGGTTCTTGGGCGTCTTGGCCCCCCTCCGCCGATCGAGGAGCGAGGCTCAAGGTTCGAGGAACCAGGCTCCTGGGCGTTCTGCCCCCCCTCCCCCCCTCGAGTGCAAACAAGAAGGCCAGCACAAGAGCAACCCTGCGAGAAAGGCTCGGGCGATCGTGGATGGGAGGGTCGCAGATCGAGGTTCGAGGTTTTTGCTTGCTCTTGGACTTTATGTTGAGCCTCCAGGGACCTCCGTTTCCGTTTGCACGGTCCCCAGGGTTGGAAACTGTTCGCGTCGGCGGCTAGGCAGAGTAACTGCTCTGGCGGAAGAGCAATCACAACGGGGATACCGTTGAAGCGACTTGTGCCACCATGCAGGACAAGGGGCGGAGACACGGGGGGGCGGCCGAACTAGGACCCAGAGCTGGAAACACGCGAGAGGGAATGCCAAGACACCAAGTCGTTTCGTGTCTGCTCCATAGCCCACTGGCGGTCGTGGCCGTCACAGAGCTGCCCGGTATGCACGATGCTGGCCAGGCAGGATCTTGGCGACTGGTACTTCAAATCGACCTAATGGCCCCCCCACTGACGCCATGAACAACTTGATTGCTGGGGCCCATATGGTGTAAAACGGCCGACGCCGCATCGTCAAGGTCCCGTCCCCAAGCGGCCCGTTCACGAGAACCGATGAAGGGCAGCTCATGTCCGACAGCCCCGTTGATCCGAATTTGCAATCATGCGTGTCATGTCATAACCGCGCCGGTCGGCAGACAGTGGACCAACACGGCGTGCACGTAGAGGACATGTGTGATGCGCGGAATGCAGACGAGACATGCAGCATACCCTTCTTTGATGGAAGTCTGGTTGTGCAGTCATCGTGGTACTTCTAGGAGCCCCCAAATAATGAAATATGGTGCTCTTCTGGCCAGGAGTGCCTCGGCCAGGAAGGGACTCCCCGACTTCCACCTAGAGTAACAGCCCGAACACCAAGAGCTGCTTCTGAGCACAAAATGTGTTGTTTGTTCAACGTGTTGACTGCATCTTCGCCCAGCAACAACAGGCTTCTGACACAGTGGAACCTGCGCGGGGGATAACTACAAACGAATCATCGACTCGGCAGCGGATCCAGCAAAGCCTCCGCTCGAGCTCCCCTACTCCTGCGGCGCATGGGGGAAGTTCTGGTTAACCCAAAAGGGGGTGGGTGTGCGCTGCATTCTGGGGCGCACAGGTATTGCTGGATTTTCGTGTGCAGTAGTAGCTGCAATACAATGCTATATAATTCTCCGGCGCAATACATGTGCAATATAGTCCCACCAGCCCTCTGGGCGTTGATGGTCTAGAGCGTTTCCTCTTCCACCTCCCTTCTTCCCTTTCCGGGAGGGGTTTACCCCTCCCCCTTCCCCCTCCCCTGGACCTGGCCCCAAGAGGGCGTCAGAGAGCCCAAGGTGAGCTCCCAGATGGCTCAAGATAGCGCAAGATGCCTCGAAATGGCTCCCAAGATGCTCCAAGACGCCCCAAGACTGCTCCAAGACGGCTCTAAGATGCCAAAAGAGCTCCCCAAGGATGCCCCCAAGAGGCCCAAATCCTTCAGACCCTTTGGAAAATCAATGCTTTTTGCTTTCTCGCCTTTTCGTTTCCGATGGCCATTCGAGGCCTTCAGATAGCTCCAAGACAACCCAAGAGAGCCCTAAGAGGGGCCCAAGGAAGCCCCAAGACGGCCCCAAGGGCGTCCAAGAGCGCTCCAAGAGCGCTCCAAGAACGCTCAAAAAGGCGACTTGGGGGGCTCCAGAGGGGCGAGGCTAATTAAGGGACCCCCTTCTTTGATCGATGTCCTCCAAGAAGCGCCCAGGACGCCCCAAGAGGCCCCCAGATGGCCCCAAGATGGCCCCAAGAGGCCCCCAAGAGGCCCCCAGGAGACCCCCAAGAGGACCCCAAGCGGCCCCAAGAGGCCCCCCCCGAGGCACCCAAGACGCCCAAGAGCCCCCAGGACCGCCAAGAGACCCTCAAGACGTCCCAAGAGGCCATCAAGAAGCGCTTAAGAGATATCCCAAGAAGCTCCTAGAGGCATCCTAGAGACCTCTGGCCATTTTGCTTGCCCTCATCCTCCTCCTCCTCCTGCTCCTCCTTCCTCCTCCTACTCCTTCTCTTCCTCCTTCCCTCATCCTTTTCCTCCTCTTCCTACTACTCCTCCTTCTCCCCACTCCCTTATCCATCCATCCAGCCTCTTCCTTCTCCTCTTCCCTTCTTCGCACGGTTCGGCAGTCGCCCTCTTTGCTCCCGCACTTCCCTGATCACCTCAACTCGCCTGGACATCGGCAACTCTAGATTTCCCAAAATCTATTACGCCACCTCCTTTCAGCTGGACCCCTCGTGGGTCGACCAAAACAGTGCCTGTCACCTCGAAGGGAACGGGGAGGAGGAGAGGGGCGAAGGGAGAGGAAAACAAGGCCGTCTAGCGGAGACGGGCCAGTCGAGACAACGGCGGCCTTCCTGGCGCTCCGCGAGATTCCGCGAGACTCCTCGTCTCTACGGCTGGATCCGCATCGAAAAACCGGGTCAAGATGGACCCCGCGAGTGGTCTGGGAGACTGACTTTGAGCGGACTCTGGCCAGGAAGGAAAAGCACCGTTGTCTCAACGGGCCCTCCCCTGAGTCTGCACGCAAGCGTGACCCCGAGCAAGAGCGACTCCTGATGCCCGGCTTGCCGATCGTTGCCTGCGATGCGACAGCAACGGCCTGCGTGTTTGGGTTGGCCGCTCCTGCGCCTCCCGAAGGTCGCGCACCCACGGCCACTCGGGCGCAAGGTCACTCCCGCGTGCAGCCGCACATGGCAGAGGGAGGAGCAACCCGGAGGAAGTCCTCGAACGGCCGCAGCTTGGTGGCCGGGAAGAGGTTGCGCTGCCGCGACTGCCCCCCTCCAAAGCTGTGCCCGGTCTCGACGAGGCACGCGCCCGAGGGATTCTTGATGCGGACGATCAGGATCTCCAAGTACCGCCTCAAGTCGCCGGGGCTCTGCGGCTTCTCGAAGAGCCGCGTCTCGCCAGAGTTCACCTCGGCAACCAGCTGCGAGATGCTTCGGGCGTCGCCCACCCCGAAGAGCTTCGTCTGGACTCGGTGCTTGGTGAGCAGCTGGACCAGCGAATCCTCCTGCCATCTGCTGCCCTCGATCTGCTGGTAGCCCTCGAAGTCGCTGTTCAGGATGGTGGGCTGCGGATTCACAGGCAGTCCCTGCTGCTGGCACTTCTGCGAGTCCCACCACTCCCACTTGACCTGCGTGCCATCCTGCAGTGTTGTCTGGAACGGGGAACAGCTCGGCAGGCCAACGCTCTCCAGCTGGGCAGGTCTGGCGTTCTCGTTTACCTGCGCGGTGAAAAAAAACTTGCGGTAGATGCTGTCCAAGCCAGGGTACGACTGCGACCCAGCCCTCTCAGTAATAAGCTCAGAAAGGAGTTCACCCTCAAAATCAACTTTCAAGATGTCCGGCGTAGACTTCAGCTCGTTCTGCAGCAGCCGCACAATCTCGGCCTTTGCACTCTCACGGCCTTTCCCTTTTGCGCGACACATCACGGCAGGAAATCTCTGGACTTGTCGTGCCCGTCCGTCGGAGAAAGTCTGGCTGGACTCCACAAGAGTTTTGCCGTCCTTGCTCTGAATGCGAACCACGATCAGGTCCACCATGCGGATAAGCTTATCACCCCGCAGCAGCAAGCTGCACTCGTGCAGCTGCAACTCGTCCTTCAAATGGGACATGGTCTTCGCCTGGCCTTTGCCCCACGAGCTGGTATCGACCTTTTTTTCCCGGAACAGATTCTCCATCCACTCGATGTTCGCGGGCTCTCCGACAACGGTGTCCCCAGACTCCATCCTGATGCTGCTGTCCGATGTTGCAGTCGCCAGCCTCGGATGCAGCACCCACGACCGAACAGATCGGCATACACGTGCTGCACTCGCGTGCATGCCGCGAGGAGCTCGGTCTCCCTCCCTCTCCTCCACAACGGGATGGCGAACGCTCTCGTACTCGGCGTCTCGACGCTGGGCGGAAGGGGCTGGAAAGGGGCGGGGTCTGGCTCCGAACCTCTGCTCAGCGCGACTGTTTGCAACAGTGCGCCCTGTGGGGGGCGACGCCACCGGATTGAAACAGGCGCCCCAAACAGCCCAAAATCTACTCCATGGGGGGCGGGGGGAGGTGGTGCGAGGGCCCGCGCCGATCGGCAAAACAGCGAATAAAAAAAACGATCACCTGGCGATTCAGCTGTTTCGAGCCGGGCGTTTTGGCCCAAATTCGGGCCCCGGGACCCTCACAGATCGACCCGGCTCGAAGAATGGCGCAGAAAGATGGGGCCTGGGGCTCCAGTCGCACTTTCTCACGGTGTCCCTCGGATCTCAAGGAGGGGCACTGCACGTTCCTCGCCCCTGGCCCCGCGTCCCAAACCGCGAGGCCCCGGGGCGCCGTCACCTCCGCGCCGCTGCGGGCGACCTGGGCCGCGCAGGCCTCCCCTTCGGCCCCCGCCGCGCGCCTGGAGCACCGCGTCCGATAGTCCGGGACCTGCTTGCTTGAGCACCTCTCCTGTCGGCCGCGCGCATAGAGGCCTCCTAGATGGGGTCCGAGTAGATGGGGTCGAAGGATCGCGCCGTATCGCCAATGCATCGCCGATGTATCGGCGATGCATCGGCGATGCATCGGCGACGTCGGCGATGCATCGGCGACTCAGGCGTGGGGAATCACGGGCTCTACATCGAGCCGCGTCGTCGATGCATCGGCGATGCGGCGCGATCCTCCGACCCCAACTCGGACCCCATCTGGGAGGCCTGGAGCGCAGTGATCTGATCGACCCTGGGCAGGAGCGGCCTTCGGTGCACGGCGCGCAGGTCCTCGCACGCGCGGTGCCGCGGGCTCGGCCCCCCGGCGCCCCCCGCAGGCCGCGCACCAAAGGTAACTTCGGCGAAGGGCCACTGCTACAGTCGGCCCGCATCAGAGGGATGCACGATACGTGAGCATGCGGGGGCCTTGGAAGGCCCTTGCGAAGCTTTTCGAGCGGGGCGCGGCCAACGAAAGTGGCCAAGGATGGACCGAGGAGGCAAGGAGGCAAGAGTCATTACCGTTGGGAAGGTCGCCCATCCTTACCATGAGGGTTGACTGTAACTACGCACGCGTAGCCGGCGAGGGGGATGAGGGAGGCGGGGCCTCGGGGAAACGGGTCCTGGACCCCGGGTCCCTCTCGTGCGGGCAATACTTCTGTCCACAACCACTGAAGCTCGGAGTCTGGGGCTCACTTCCCCGGAAGCCCGAGGCGCACTGGATATTGATACAAACATCTGCCCCCCCTGGATGCTCGATCTTTATCAATATCCAGTGCGCCTCGGCCTTGAGGCGCCCTCTTCCAAGAAAGTTCAAGGCGCACTGGATATCGATATAACTACTGCCCGCACCTTGGACCAGTCCTGCACCCCGGATAACATGCTCTGATGGCCCCGTGGCCCAGGAACGGCCCCGAGGGGCCGAGAACAGTGGAAGGCACCAGGGCCGCGTGCCCTCGGGACACCCTCCCAACCATCCTCCGACTTAATTTTTCCAATCCGCGGCCCCAGAGCTCCCGACGCCCGATGGACGGCCCACGGGGGCCGAAATCAGGGAAACGCGCCCCAGCTGAAAACACCTCTTCCTCGGAGATCTGGGCTCGATTCGTGGCGAGTCTCCTCGCTCCACCACTCGTAGGCGCGAGACTCGCCGGGGCGCTGGTTGCTGGCCGTCTTCTCGTCCTTCGCCTCCTGCACCTTCTCGTCCATGGCCAGGGCACTCTTGTGGCCCTGGGCATGCCTCTCGCGGCGGCCGGCGCGGACCGACTCCGGGCGGCAACCGAGGCACTGGGTCACGCGAGCTGCGTGCGCGAGGCGTGTTCTGCACAGGTGGTCACGCGACTGTTCCGTGTCTGCCTAAAACAGCATGCACCAGGAAGCTGGAAACACACACACACACCAACACACACACACACATGCATCCGCACAACACACACACACACACGCACACGCACACGCACACGCACACGCACACGCGGCTGGATGCACATGCGGAACTCAAGAATTGGCCAAGAGAAGGACAGCATCGGTTAGGGACAAGTCGGGGATCTCTCATATCCGGCGGCTCTGGAGAATATATCGGGCGCCGTGGCCGTTCCAAGCGCTCCGGAACGCTCTGAGAGCATTCCAGAACGCTCCGGAAAGATTTATCCCTGTCCTAGCCCTGCCCGAAGAACATCATGATGCCGCGAGCTGGATTCACAAGCGGAAGCCGTACGTGCCCTGCAATCGAAGGGCCAAGCGTTCGAAAAAGAACAGCCCTGAAACCCCAGGACGTACATTGATTTTTGAAATGGGAACGTGACACTTTCCATCGTAGAACCATCGAAACCCAAGAAATCCAGGGCACCCTGGAGGCAAGCAGGGTGTGTCTTGGCATGGGTCTCCACTGTATCCAGTTCCCTCCCGGGCCAGCCATGTCATGTATCCAGATTCCTGGTGAGTGAGCATGCATGCCTACACGCAACTGTGCACAAAAAACGATTAAGCGTGTCCCCACGGTAATTATATGGCCTTCCCACGTTCCCCATTGCGAGCGTTTTCTTATTCGGCGTTTCGACATTGGGCGGAAGGAGGGGGGGGTCTGGCACTGGACCTCTGCGTAGCGCGACTGTTTACAACAGTGCGCCCCACGGTGGAGACTCCACCTGCTCGAAACAGGCGCCAAGAGAATGGCCAAGATCTACTGCTGGGGGGCGGGAGGGGGTGCGAGGGCCCACGCCGCTCGGCAAAACAATGAATAAGAACACGATGCGTCTTAGGCGTGCCTCAAGGGTAATAACTTGTTTAGAAGATCTGGTTGGTGCAACGCCTGCGCCGGCTGGCCTTCCTCGGGAGGCTTGGTCTTGTCTCCATGTGCTGTTTTGAAAACTGCTTTCGTCGGGTCGCATGATGCTGTGTCTTGCTCCTGTATCGATTTTCAAGAGCCCTTCCTCGGGTTCATCGGTATTGTTTCCGTCGTGATTTTGAGAAGGCCGCCCTCGGGCTCCTGGGTCTGATGTCCTTGCTGTTTTGTAAGGGCCTTCCTCGGGTTGCTTGGTCTTGCTTCCTAGCAGTGCTGAGCAACGCCGAGCAATACCGAGCAACGCCGTGCAACTCCAAGCAGCGCCACGCAAAACAAAGGAACGCGAAGCAATGCCAATCAACACCAAGCAACGCCAAGAAACGCACAGCAGCATTCAACAACGCTTAGCAACGTAATGCAACGCAAGCGACGCCAATCAATACCAAGCAACGCCGCGCAACGCCAATCAACGCCACGCAATGCCAAGCAATGCAAAGCAACGCCAAGTAATACAAAGCAGTGCAAAACAAAGAAAAGCAATGCAACGCCATGCAAAGCAATGTCATGCAATGCCAGGCACTTTTTGGCAATTGCGCTGAGGAAGCGTTGCCCTCATTGGGGTTGGCCCAGCTCCATTTTGTAAACATTTCCACGATCCCGAACCCCACTCCCCCAGTGGTAGCCCCCCTCCCCCCAACGATGAGCCCACATCTCCCCCCCTTCGGGTGTGTGGTGCGGTGGGGGAGGTGAACGCGCGTGCTTGCATGCATTCGTTCGCGTCCGAGTGCTTGCGCACGTGTGTGTGTGTATGTGTGTGTGTGTTCGTCCTTTCGTTCTTTCCTCTCGCTTCGAGCCTGCCGCTGCCACTCTGGCGTTCTCGCTACCCCTCGCATTGCGACCAGTCGTAGAAATTGGCTCCAGTCGGGAGCACTTGTCCGCACATCACTTTCTCCCGCCTCACAAGCCAGACGTGCGTGTTTGTGTGTTCGTGTGTTTGCGTGTTGGGGCATCAGGGGGCGCACGCCCTCGTCGGACTGAGAGACCGCTGGGACATGGTCCGCGCCCTTCCCCTCCTCCTTTCCCCCTCTCCTGCGCGCTGTGCTCGCCAAGACGTTCCAGAACGGTCCGGCCTCCTCCCCTCTCCGGCCGCGGGACGACCGAGCCGCTGCGGTCCCATGTGCGTCCTTGCCCCTGCCTGCGGCAGGCGCTCGCGGGCGGCCGGCAACACACAACGAAAAACCTCGGGCGTCCTGCGTGCGCCGGCTGAGTGGGCGGGCTCCGCCGCCCCTCCCGGCGCGATGCCGCGGCCGGGCCTCGCGCGATCGCAGGGCTGCGCAAGCCCGCGTCGCCTCGCTGGATGCGGCGACTGGCTGGGGCCCACCGCCGGCAGCCCCGGCACCGCCACCATGCTGCTGGTGCCGGTTCGTCCGCCCTGCGGCCTCCGCCCGCCGCCGTGGCTCTGCTGGTCGGGCGCGCTGGCGCGCCCTCCCGCCCTCTGCTGCGCCTTCTCGATGGGCGGCGCGCCCCGGGGGGATGGGGAGAGGTGAGAAGGGGCGGGCCTTCACAGAAGGCTCGGGAGTCCCCCAGCCTTCGGAGAAGCTTTCTGGAAGCCTTCCCCGAAGACGCAACCAAAAGAACCTCCCAGGAGGCGCGGGGGCTTCTGAGAAGTCCCGCCGCCTTCTCAGAGGGCGTTCTCCTTCTCACTTCCCTCTCCTTCGCTCGCCGCCGATGTTCGCCACTGGCACGCTGCTGGCTGGATCAGCTCCCCACGGCAACGCCAGCACCGGCATCGGAAGACAGCTCGGCCCGCCGCCCTCCAGCCCCGACCTCTCGAACATCCCCGCTGCAATTTGCCGCGCACTGTGGTCGCCCACCGGCTCCCGGCATCGGCAACCCGCCATTCGCAGCTGCCTGCATGGTCGGCATCGCGCTGGACTGCAAGGCCTTCCTCTCCGTGGCCTTTCGCGCCCCCCTCCCGTACTGTTCTTCCTGCGCTACGCGTGCTGCAGCCTCTGCTTCGGTGTGGCCGCGATGCCGCCCCGCACCCACTGCCAAGGTGATGCAGCACTGGTTGGCCGCACGGGCCGCTCCAAGGCGATGCGCCTCGCCCTGTGAGTGCTCTCCCCTCTCCCTCTTTGGGAAGGATCCAAATTTTCGGTGAGGAGATCGGCGAACAACCCAAGGAACTCCCGAACGCTCGGAGAGGTAACTAGGGGAAGCGGCGAGGAAAGAGGCAAAGGAGGGAAGGATTAGCAAGGAAGCTGGACAATAGATTACGAAAGTCGCGAGCCCGAGGAGCCGAAAGTCGGGTGGACCTGGCCAGCCAGCGAGAGATCGCAGACTTGTCCAGTCTGCGGGCCTCTTGGGCCCAATGTGTTGGCCTGATTCCCTAGAACAACTCTAGACGGGACCACGCAACGTGAAGGAAAGAGACCGATGCGCCCGCAAGCGCAACGAGATCGAACTTTCTTGGGCGGGGTGGGCAATCAAACTCCGCATTGGCGATGGGTGGGCGATTGGGAGTCAACGCTTCCATTCCAAGAGGGAAGGGGGGAGGGAGGAGGGAGGATGGGGGGAGAAGGAGGAGGAGAAAGAGAAGAGGAGGAGGAGGAGGAAAATTCAATTACATGTTCTGCCCTTTGAGTCCCCTGCAGGCCGTGCGAATGCATTAGTGATATTGACATTTGCTCGGCACGAAGGTCACGAGGCGCAAGCGGACCCCAAGGAATCAAACTCCTCAAGCTGCTGGCCCCCGGAAGTTCACGGCGGAGCACTGCCGCCCAAGAAATCGCTGGGAGGCCACGAGGCGCGCAGCAACACCTCCACTGGATATCAGGGCACTCTGATGATCACCAGAGTCACCCTCGATCCTTACCAAAACTTTTAAATGCCTCTAAGAACTCAGGGGGGCCCTGGAAACTGCGCACATATTCTGACGTCGGAGGAGGAGGAGGAGGGAGGAACACGAACGAGCGAGGGGGGTAAGAGAGGTCTGCTCTGCTAGCGGAAGCAGCGGCGGTGCCGGCAGCACGGCTCCTGGCCTCAATCCGTCCCTGAAACTCGCCCATGTTCACCAGCTCGGCGATCACCGACCTCGCGTTGGGGTTGCGCGTGGGCGCGCCGCTTTTCAGTTCGGTCTTGGGGTTGCCCCCGATCGCCCTCGTCACCTCCATCTGCACCCCGCGAAGCTCGGGCACCACCATCACATTGATACGCCAACGATCCTCCGTCCAGTGGCGCTGACGATGACCCTTCTTCTGCATGCTCGTCAAGATCTAACCAGTTACATTCGACCGACGTCGTGGCATGAGATTGCTTCAGCAGCGGCTTGTGAGCGTCGGGAACACTGCCATCCTTGACCACCTGATTCGCTTGATCCACCCAGGCCCTCTCGTGCGACGGCATCATCTTCTGCAAGCTCTCGACGTCCTTGGCCTCTTTCAGCGTCTTACTCTCCGCGTCGTAGTCGCGACCCGTCTGCTGCAGCCCGCTCATGTGCGGGTGCTCTTCTGGCACAAGAGCTGTGGTCTCGAGAAATCCCTTCAAGCGCCGAACCTCGCCGTCGATCCCCGCTGCGGTCTTCGCGGTGGCCGCTGCGAGCTCGCGAATTTGAGCGTCCGCCCCCGCCGACCCCGCTGCTCGACGCTTCGAGGCCGGCCCCGAATCCAATGTCGCCAGCTGCTTCGCCAGTGCCTCCATCACGTTCCTGAGGTGTGAAGTGTAGGCGTGTGCGCGGGCCTCGACCACGGTAGAGAAGTTACAGTCGGCGCAGAATGGGCACGCCATCGGTGAGGGTGTGGTTAGAGCCGACAAAAGACCACCAGACGGACCGCGTTTCGTCGGGCAGGCACACGGTGCGCAGTTCCCCCGAGCGAGACAATGGAGTTTGGCACTCGCAACTGTAGAAAAATTCGAGCACACCATGGACACTGGTTCGTTGGGGCGGCTGTTCGATAATCACAAGATTTACCATGGGCATGATGCTCACGTGCTCGAAATTGTTCTTGAGCTGGATAAGAGTGGGCACACTGAACTCCATCCGTCACGATCTCGCATTTGAATAAGGACTGCGAACGCGGAGGAACGGCAGGTGGGGGGCCAGGAGGGTGTTCGCCAAAATCCAGCAAGCTCTCTTTTTGGGGGTCGAACACAGATGGTGATTCAAATCGCGCATACCAGCCTTTCTGTCAGAGGGCGTCCTGGGCAGAGCGATGGAGGCGGCCTGGCGCGCGCAGGTCCTCACCCCGCTGCTTCAAGCACGGATTACTGCGATGAGGAGGACGACCACGACCACTGAGCTGCGACTGACCATTCATGGGGCCCGTGAGCACACCAAGCAATACCGCGTGATCGTGTGGATGTTTAGCGGAGTGATGAAGCCATCGGAGTCGTCGATATCACTAAGTAGTCATCGTCGTCGGGATATTCAGCCATCGTCGAACTTCAGTTGCTAAGAGTACGGCAATTGGTGATATCGCCGTCACTGTCGCCGTGTTTAGCAGCCCCTCCCGCAGCAGCAGCACCCGAGCATGCGCCGCAGTGAAGCCGTCAATGCGATGAGCGGTTCGATCAAAGTCCCTGCGCTTCCCCTCCCGAGAGGCACGCATTCGCCACCATGCCGTCAAACGCGGCTTTTTTGATTTTGCGAGGGGCCCGACTGGACCAGAGCTTCCCAAGAGCATTCCACCCCAGATGCGCGGCTTCCTGACGTTTCAAGTTCCCAAGACTCCATCCCATCGAAGTGGCGCCACGCCCCAGGACGCCTCGAGCAGAGCTTAGGGGCCCCGTCGAACGCGAGAGCCTGCTTACGGTAGAACTACTGCATACACTGATGACACCCCGCACCGCATGCCCGAAATAATGCATCCTTTTTTACCGCATTGCGTCGCAAACCTGAGGGGGCGCCGACGCGTGCATGTAGCTGTTCGCCCCGCTCGCAAATCCGAGCGGCAGCCTCCGTCGCGTCCTCGCACAGGCCCACGCGGCACAACATGCCGTCCGCATGCGCCCCGTAGCTGACATCCACCATCTTCTGCGTGACTGGTTCAAGCACGCGAAGGAAATCGCAGTCTGCATCATTCGAAGAGTTCTGAATCCATCTGTCCACGCGCGCGTCGAGCGCGTCGATGAACCTTTCCTGGAACTGCCGCGTCGCCCTGAAGATCGCCATGACCCAAAGACATCAAGGCCCAATCGCCCGCGTCCGCTCGACGAAAGCAGAGAGCGCGATAATGTCGCTGACGAAGAAGTACAACGTCGCCTGGCGGTGGAGCGTCGTCAATCACCTCGTCCGGGGTGGCTCGGTGCACCGGCGCAAACGCATTGACCTGGTCGTGAGACAGGGCCACCCAGTTCAGTATGTGTTTCTCTGAGTGCCATCGTGCGACTTTGACCTGGAGGATAGTCTGCTCTCGTCGTCGCCAGGGTTTGAAGCCGCTAGAATTATCTGGACCGCGCGCCCGTCGCTTAGCCTATCGCTGTCCAGCGCGTGCCTTGCCGATGGGGCCCAACAAGGGAACGGCCCACTCAGCCTTGCATTTCTCTTGATTTTTTGCCCTCTTGCGCCCGACAGCCTGCGCTGACTGCCCAGATCTGCGGCGTGCTCTGCGCGTCCCTGACAATGAACAACAAGTGGTCGAATCGCTGCAAGAAGGCACCGTATCTCTCTTCCCCGCGCGGTGGCGTCGCCAACGCCATCGGCCAACTTTCTCCGCGTAGACCACTCTGGGACTGCACGTCTGGCTTTGAAGCGTTTGAGACGCCAAATCACACCTGCAAGATCCCCCCTGAGCTCTGAAATGCGCCGGTTTACCGTCGTCGGGCATGCGATCTGAAATGGAAGTGGAGACCTCCAGAGCCATGTTAAACTGCAACTCAGCGTCGGGCGCGTCGTGGGATAGGTCGTTGACTGAAAGCGAACTTCCCTGGACCCATCTACCAGGATCGAGTCGCGGTCGAGCTGCCGCCGCTGAACATGTCGGAGAAGAGGCGTGGTTGGGCAAGCGTTTCGTCTTATCGTTATCAGGCGCCGCTCCCTGTGCTGCCGATAAGCCACCTGCCTCTGCTGCTAGCGGTTAACACCGTCCAACGGATCCCTGAAGATGCGCACGTCGTTCGTCAGGATCGCGTGGAACCAGGACGTCTGGAACGGATGCGCAATCGCCAGGAAGAGTCGGTCGGGCCTCCAGGCGGCCATCTGGTCCCGCCTGTCCCGTACGTTGCACCCACTCATGAAAAGTTGGCGTGTGCGTCGCAGAAAACGCCGCTTCGTGGGTCCGAACTTTGTGCCAGCGGCTCGCCGAAATAAACCCCAAACCTGATGCCAATCATGTCGTAATTGTGTTTCCTCCAATTCAGTGGTCCATACATCTCTCATACGTCGGAAATCACGTCGTCGATATCTGCGAATATACTTGCGATAAAGAGCCGCTTGCTTCCTCATCTCATCAGTCACCTCATCCACCGTCTGAATACAAGCACGGATGTCCTTATATCTCTGGCGCATCAATGTCGCCGTCGTGGCCCCACCTCGTCGTACTTGTTGGGGCGACGCTCGAAGTAGGTCTGGGCAACTTCCAACGCGCCCGTCTGAATGAGATCCCAATATGCGCCAATATCGCCTGAACGCTGAAGCTGTCGACAAGATTGGATGACCTGGGGCTGACTCGCCCACGTGTCTAGACCCTCCACGTAGGTCGTCGTAGCCCGCACCACTTTTCAGCCAGGCGCGCATCATCTGATCCGGATCACATCTCAACGTGCCTGCCGACGCGTCATGATCATACGATGACTGAGTACTAGACTCCATCACCACAAAGAGCAAGGAGCTGTGATATTACTGAACGGATCCAAGCAACCAAGGCTTGGCAATGTTCCTTGCACGACTCCGTCTTGGGTGGGAGAATCCCATACGCAGTAATGAAACAAAAGTCGTAGTGACCACTCCAACGATACCTGATAGCACCACCACGAACCTGAAGATATTCGGGAAGACACCAGGCCTGAACAACGATGTCGACGAGCAAGCTTCGATTTTACAGCTAGCATGCACCCCGTGGAGGAGCTCATTCCCGTCTTAGCGGTAGTCTGTGGGGTCGATGTTGTTTTGGGTATGGTCTTGGGGGCAGGCCATTGCCATACCGTGTGCTCACCAATGCGATGAGATAGTATACGCAGATAGCCGTCGAATGAGGCATACTTCATACTTTGTCCACTCCCCATCACGCTGATCACATGACACGTCCCCAATCCCTGCAGCACTTCCTGGATCTCCCGATGTACCGGCAGCGCTTGTGGATTATATTGTGCAAGCCAGGGACGTAGGGCCTCGGACGCGCACGTAGGGACTGAGGGCATCGCGTTCGTCGTCATCAGAACCGACCCACGGAGAGCGGGACGAACACACAAAGCTCTCATGAAGGCTCGTACTCGCGTGCCACGTCGGACGGTGGAAAGAGCAAGACGCCAAAATGTGGAGTTTGTGCCAATGGGGCGTCTAGGAGGAGGAGGAGGAGAAGGAGGAGAAGGGGAAGGAGGAGAAAAAAAAGGACTGAGCCCGGGCCCCCCTGACGTTGCCCCTGCTCCATGGTTTCCCGTGCACCCGCAATCGGCCGCGCGCGCGGGTGCCCCGCGTGTAGGTGCCCCACGGTCGGTACCATGTGCTTGACCTGTGGTGGGCGCCTCCGTGCGGAGGCCTCCCAGACGGGGTCCATCGGCGGCGTTAGCAAAGCATCGGCGGCGTCGGCGTGGAGGAAACCACCGAGGGCAGCATGCACTGAAGGCGAAGATTTTTCTCGAGCGCCTCATGTGTTTGCTATACTTCTTGCATCCGACGATGAACGTCGTGTGGGTGATGCTTCCGCCACCTCCCGTCCTTACCTGCCGCATCCTCTGTCAGCTCACTTCCACTCAGACTCACTCGCACTCAACAGGACCCACACACAGACCCGGTGACACACGCACCATTCAAACTCATACGCACCCGTACTCAGCTTAGCATACTCAGACTAGCTCGTACTCGTGCTCACTGACACCCAGACCCGCACACACATACTCAATCATACTCAGACTCACTCGCAGCCTCACACTCATGTGATGACTCACCCGTATTTAGACTACGCACACACAAATTCAGGCACACTCGGACTTGTTCTCGCTGAGACTCAGTCGCACCTGACATAGCAGGCGTGGCATTTGGGCAGTCCAAGGAGGAGCCGCCATGAAGGGTAAAACTTGCCCGTTCTCGCCCAGAATGTGGGGATGCCTCACTCGCTGCCTGTTTGGTGGCTCCTATCCTTTCTTCTTTTGCGAGCCCTTTGTTCATCGCGATACAGCAGGCGTGGCAGTTGGGCGCCCCAAGTTGAAACCGCCAGGAAGGGGGCACTTGCCAGTTCGCGGCCAGATTGTGGGGATGCCCCAGGCGGTTTGCCTGCTTGGTGACTCATGTGTCTTGTTTCAGAGGCCCCATGATCACAGCGATAAAGCAGACGTGGCACTTGAGGCCCTCCAAAGAGGAAGTGCTGGGGAGGGGTACGCTTGCAAATTCGCACCAAGATTGTGCTTCCACGGTTTCATGTGTGGTGGATTCTACCATTTTCTCTTGCGAGCCATAGGACCATCGCGATACAGCAAGCGTGGCAACTGGGCACCACAAGGAGAAGCCGCCAGGAAGGGGGACACTTGCCCGTTCGCGCCCAGCTCGTGGGGATGTCTCAGGCGGCTTGCCTGTTTGGTGGCTCAGACCCCTCTCATTCGAGAAACCCGTGATCATCGCGACGAAGCAAGCGTGGCACCTGGTCGCCCCGAGGGGAAGCCGCCACGGAGGGGGACACTTGCCCGTTCGCGCCCAGACTGTGGGGATGTCTCGGGCGATGTGCGTGCGTGGTCGCTCGGACTCAAAACCTTCTGGAAATTCCCGTGATTACCGCCATGCAGCAGGCAGAGCACTTGGGCACTCCAGGGGGAAACCGCCAGGAAGTGCTCCGGCCCTACAGGCCAAGAGTTCCTCAGGCAGGCCCTTGTAGAATGAAGTGCAAAAACCTGAGATGCACATAGTATGGGGATCTTCGCGTCGAAACATCTGTTTTGAGTCCCCCCCAACAACAAAAAAATCGAGTGGGGCGACAGGCTGCGGCCCCTCGCAGCAGGCCTCTCGGCTGCCGCCTTCATCTTCTTGTTGAAGCGCTTCTGCTCCCCATCGGGGCCGCCCTCCTGTGCGGGAGGGAGCCCTCGGCGGACGAGCGATCACGGCACCAGGATCCTGCCACGGCCTTGGCCGTCAGGCCTGAGCTGGACTGGCCATCACGACATCGGATCGCATCGGACCTAGACATGATCGCGCCCGAATCGGCTCGAAATCGGCCCGGGATCGGACCGCTCGCGATCACGGCTCTGGCTCGGCGCCGGCAGGCCCGGGGGGGAATCGACTCGCGCCAGGTCGGGCCGGATCGATTGGGGGTCCCAAGCCGGTGTGACAGACCGCGCGGTGACGTCGGAACCCTAAGAGACCTGACCACAGGGTCCACCACACCCAGGACTTGGCACCCTGGGGGCCCCAGGCGCCCAAGACGCCCACGCAGAACGACCCGAGTCCCAAAACCGTGCGGTGCGGGCTATCGAAGGCGTATCGACGGCGTACACGTGGAAGCCCGCGGGGGAGGCAACGTTCCGCTGGAGCGGCTGCATGCTGGCGATCACGGCGCGGCCCGCCACATCCACAGCCTGCGCAAAGAAATCGGGGGTAAACCAGATCCAACGCGAACGCTACAGCTTGACCAGCAGTACTTTTGTTGCACGGTTATCGGACATCGGTGGAGGAGAACAATCATGCCCAATGCGTCTCACGGCAACGCGACTGACACGGCTGAGTGAAACGGAATGCCGCCAACTTGTGATCCCGAGCTTGTCGAGGTCTCAGAGCATCACGTTCAAGACGTACCAGCGAGCACACTCCGAGGGACGTTCTCGGATAGCTGGTGTTCGGCACGAGGCTGCGCCATCCAGAACGAGGGGGGAAAGGAGGGGAGCGAGCAGCATTCTGTGGCGTTAATTACGGAAGGCCATCATCCAGGCAATGCGCAAGCATCTGTCGCTCGACTGTGCCCCAACTCAAAGGTGGCAACTTGGCGCAGAGGCTACTGCTCTCAGGAGTCTCGACGCCCGCCGCGGCCACAACCACACCTCCCGACCTCGGACCACGACGCCGAGGGCGGAACCCACAGAGCACTTCCACCCGCAGCGAGGCAGAGGCAGTCCGCTTCAGCGTGTGGCAACTCGGGGCAACCGAATGGCCGATTGGCCGGCGTGCAAGAGAGGGACAAGGACGAGGGCGGCCGCGTGGGGGGAGGGGGAGGAAAGAGCGCTCAGACGAGGAAGCGCTCCTCGCCGAGCGCACCCACAGCACACAAGGTACACGAGAGTGGCCAAGATCACACCGCAGACGAGGTCGCCCCCACGTCTTGCGCTCCGACCCCCGCTGGCGGGTTTCGCAAGGCGCATCCTGAAGGTGCAGCTGAGGGGAGCCCCTCCACCAGCACGGCGACAGGGTCCTCGAGCCTCGAGGGTCGGCTGCTTCCTGCTCCGCCCACGCCGCCCGTCACGGCCGATGGGCACGTCGGCGCCGCACAGGCGGCGCACGGCGGGCACCCCGGCATGAGCGGGAGCGCCAGGCGGGTGAGGTCAGGGCAGACGGGGCAGGCTTGGCGATCCCACTCGAAGAGAGGTCCTACGGGCAAGAAACCGCTCAGCCAGGGCGCATGCCCAGCTGCAACCTGCATAGCACACTCCGGACCAAAAGGCTGCGGAACACACATTGCCCATGTGGCCCCCCACCACCTTCGAGCAGAGTAAAAAGGAATTCGGAGACACTGGGAGTAGATAAATGGAGAAAGAGAAAGAGAGAGAGAGAGAGGGAGAGAAAAAGAGAGAAAGAGATAGAGAAATGGAGAGAGAGAGAGAGAGAAAACAAAAAAAGTATAGGAGAGAGGGGAGCAGAGTCAGCCAGGAGGATAAGAGGGAGAATGAGGAGGGAGAGCAGGAGGAAGCACGGTCTGAGGGATGGAGGGCGAGCGACGAGGACAACGGATGGATAGCAGAGCTTCCGTTCGGCGATGCAGGATGGGGGATCGGTCAACTGTTGCAACCTTTCCTTTGCAAAGCTCCCATTGGCTCCTGCTGAGAGTCCATGGACTGCTGGCGAGTGTGCCCGAAGCCTGCAAGGGATCCTCGACATCCATTCCACCGATGCCTCTCCCTCCGTTTCCTTCCTCTGTCTGCTGCTGCTCCGCTACCACTCTCCTGCCCTTCGTCCTCTTCCTCCTTCCTCATGCGCCATCCTTCTCCTTTCCTCCACCCTGGGAAGGGAAAGGGGGGGATACAGCACTGGTAGATATGTTTCCGTTGTGTCCATGCCTTGCGTGTCATCAAAGTCTTCCATCGACGCGCTGTTGCCTCCGACGTCCGCAGGTTCGTCCGAGAGCCTCTGACCGACGATGCTGTCCTTGTGTTTCTTGCACTCGCGGATGAGCCAGGGGTTCTGTAAGGAGGGGAAGGGAGGGAGAGGAAAAGGCGTATGAGGAGGTGACAGATAGGGGCTCGTCCAGCGAAGAAGAAGATGGAGCAAGATGAAGGAGAGGAGTAGGAGGCGAAGGAGGGAAGGTACACATTCTCCAAGGGGGAGGGGCGAATGACGGATAAGGACGAGCAGGAACAGGAGCGGAGGTGGAGTGGACGCGCCTCCAATGCCGCGGCGGCCGTAATGCGGTCCTTGTAAGCCTTATTCAGCATCGCGCTGACCAGGCTAAACTGCTCGCTGTTCATCCGATCGGTCTTCTTCAAGTGCTTCTTGAAACGATCCTGCATCGAAGCGAAAGGGAACTTGGCCGTCATCATGCACCAAAAACAAACGCCCACGGCCCAGACGTCGACCTGATGCGCGTACGAGCGCGTGATCAGTTCTGGAGCCCAATACTCTCGAGTGCCAACGATATCTTTCAGAAACACGCCGTTCTCAAGATAGCGAGCTGTGCTCATGTCTGTCAAGACAACCTTGAAATCCCTACCCTTGAACTCGGTGCCATCTACCAGATAGTTGTCTGCCTTCACATCCCGATGAAGAATCATGTTCGAATGCAAATACGCAATCGACTCCAGCATCTGCTTCGTGACCTCTGCGAGTAGCGGAGGCGCGATGCCTCTCGAGCTCTTCTTGAGCATCGGAAGCACTGCCTGGATGAGGCTCGTCTCGTACTTATCCATTACGAAATACACGAAGTCTTCGTCCACGAAGACCCCGACCATCCTAACCAATCGAGGGTGCTCCACCACCTTCAACATCTGAAATTCCTGCACGAAAGTTTGCCACTGCGCCTCCTGTGAAGAGGACAGCCGGCCCCACCAACTACTTTGGTGCTCCATCATCTTGACTGCGTAGAGGGTGGAATCACCCTTCTTCTTTATGCATTCGTAGACGGTGCCAAATGCGCCAGCACCCAGCCTGGTGCCCACTGTGTAGACGTCACGGAAGTCCTCACGCTGACTCTCCTTCAGGAGCACCACCTTGCCCTTGGGCTGCAAGCTGGACGTCAAGCACCCCATGGCGAGAACGTATGACTAACGAGATCTGGGGGAGCCGCTCCCTCCCCAAGGCTCCAAGACCCGCTGAGGAAGCCAGGTGTGCCTTTCCGAACGTGGAGCGCGGATTGCTTTGTCCTCGTTTTACTCATCGCAAGACCTCCGGATCCTCGCCCGTTGAACCTCCATTACACTTAAACTGGTCCGCCAGCTTCCACCGAGGGCAAGGATGCCAGCCCTCCGATTCCTCGGCGGAGAGGCCATTGTTGAGACGCCTATGTTTGAGGCGGGGATCGTGCCCGTGCCAGTCCCGCGGGGGCGTCCTGGACGGGAGCTCGGGAGCGTTCCCCCCGCATCCGCCCTGACCTTCCAGGAGGGACGCTTTGAACTTGAACTTCGGTCGAGGCTCTGAGCAGCCCCGATGGGTCTGATGGTCTGGGGGGGGCTCAATTTTCAGCACTCTGGAAGGTCAGGGCGAGATCCACCGGTGACAGCCAGGGATGTGTCGTTACGCCCGACGTACAGTAGGCGCCCCCCGCCGCGGTCCGCGTGCCAGTGGGGGCCGAGCAGGACGTGGCTGCGCTCGGAGTGGAGGATGAGCAAGGAGGACGGGGCAAGCGGTAGTCAAGCCGGCGTCCGCCGAAGAACGAGAAGACGATTAAACACATGTGCCCTCACCCACCGCCCGCCAGATAAGGAGGAGAAGGAGAGATGAGGAAGAGGAGAGATAACAAAGGAGGCGAAAGAGGAGGAGCAGGAGGAGGAGAGAGGAGGGCAAAGGGTAAGGAGGGAGGATGGACGGGGGACGACGGCATCGTCGTTGCTCAGACGGGCTCATCAAGGCATGCCCTCAGCTAGCGCCGGCGCTGGTCGCCTCGGAGGGCCGTTGGGTCAGCGCGTCGGGGCGGCGGGCGGCACCGAGCAAGGACGCGCCCTGCCGAGGACTGCGCCCCCTCCGAGTAGAGGCATCCCAGGTGGGGTCGGAGCAGATGGGCTCGGAGGATCGCGCCGCATCGCCGATGCACCATCGCTGATGCACTGGGCGATGCACCGGCAAAGTCGGCGACGCATCGGCGACGTCGGCGTGGCTCCGCATCGGGGCCGCATCGCCGATGCATCGGCGATGTGGCGCGATCCTCCGACCCCATCGACTCGGACCCCACCTGGGAGGCCTAGACTCAGGGCCCGCCTCTGTGGAGCGCGCGGTGGGCGCGCGCGGCCAAATCGTTTGCGCGCCGCGTCGCGCTGCGGCACGCCGCGAGCGCGCGTGGGCCACGCGTGCCGAGCCTGCCGTGCGCGCGTGGGCCACGCTGCGCGTGAAGCACGTGGACGCGCATGTCGGGGGCGTCCAAGAGAGGCGGTTCGGACACCATGGTCGGAGGCATGTGCGCGGCCGGTGGGTGGGCCAGGGGGCGCATTGAGAGAAGTAGAGGGGGGCCATGAGATCTGGGGGATACCATGATGTCCCCGCCATGATGTCCCCTCCCCCGAGCCATCGCCCCCCCGCTGGCGGGCCCCGAGCGTGCCGAGGCTGACGTGCGGGGCACAGGCGGCCGGGAGCGACCATCGCAGGCTTCTCCTCCCCTCGGTCTGGGCCAGGGCCCGCGGCCCGCAGGCCAGAGGGAGGTTGAGCCAGCCAGGGCCCCCTCGGTCGGGGAGGCGTCAGGCTCGGGTTTGGGGAACTCGGGTTGGCCTGACAGGGCCACCATGAAGATGACGAGACCCAGTCTGAAATTTGCCGCGAACTCCCGCTGCAGACATCCCACGAACACTGGACCGTCAGAATCCAGGACACGCTCATCAAAAAACGTGCAAACCCGAATTCCGGCGTACTCGAGTCCTACGTCTCCCCGATTTGCGTCTGGGTCTGGGAATGCGAATGTTTGCTTATCCGGCGTTTCGACATTAGGCGGAAGGGGGGGGAGGGGGGGCGTCTGGCTCTAGACCTCTGCTCAATGCGACCGTTCGCAACCGTGCGTCCTGTGGGGGGGACTCCAAATGCTTGAACCAGGCGCCAAAAAAACAAGATCTACTCCATGGGGGAGGGGGGAGGTGGGAGGGGGAAGGCCCGCGCCGATCGGCTACTCATGGCCCGATGCTGGCAAACTGGCCGTGGGCAGGAGCCCTGAAACAGGTTGCACGCGGCTGGCGCCTGCCAGCACCGCAACAGGGGCAGCCGGACGGAGAAAGGGCGGAGGTAAGGAGGACAAGGATAATGCAGAGTCTGAGGAGGTGGAGAGCAAGAAGAGGATGAGCAGCAGCAGCAGCAGCAACGGGAGAAAGGGAGGAGGAAGGGAAGGAGGGAGGGGAGAGGCGGACGAAAATGAGTGAGGACGACAAGGAAGAACGGGAGGGCAACGAACGATCACGAGGAGCAGGGGGGGGCAACCGCCTTGGAGGACCTCCAGCCAGCCGTCCAGCCTCAGACCTCCCCTCCGACGTCTCTCCCCAGGTGACGCTCTGGCGGCCCAGGGGGCCTGAATACGACTGTATGTACATGTACATGCATACATGTTTGAAATATGTGATACATATGCACAAACGGCTATCTGTGTATAAGGTCTATATACATGCAAGCATACATACATACAGACAGACAGACAGGCAGACAGACAGACAGGCAGACAGACATACACATACACACATACCTACATACATGCATACATATAAACGTGCATGCGCATGTGCATGCGTATATATATATATATATATATAGGTAGATAGATTTGTGCACATATGTGCACATGCATTCGCATCAAAGCGCCGTCTTCTTGTTTCGAATGGCGTCGAGGAGCGCGGCTTGCCGCCGAAGCCGCAGGCCGCTGAAGAAGAGGGTGTCCGAGAGCCTCCGAGGGTCGGCGGCAGCGGTGGCCAAACGACCGCGCGCGCGGGTAACGGGCGGAGTTGGACACCGCCAGCCGTGCACCAGGCCAACCTCGGCACGCGCCTCCGCGCGTGCTGCTGGCGCGTGGGGCGGCGTGCATCGCGCGGGTCCGTAGCCATCGTGCTACCATGCGGAGCGCCACAGAAAGCACAGACTGGCTCTTCTGGCCCTGGCGAGCCTCGGCGACGAATGGGGTCCCTTGGCCAGATCGAAATATCCCCCCAGAGCAGAATTGCTTTACTGGCGCCAGCGAGCCTCGGCGACGAAAGGGTTCCCTCACTCAGATCGAAGGAGCGACCCGGAAACCAGAATCCCTCCTGAACCCAAGGTGTTATTTTCCTCGCCATCGCCCGGACGTCCCTTCCCCATGCATTTTTCGCGTTCGTGCGTGTATTTGTTCGCCAGATGATCTGGGATGCTCCTCGATGCTCCTCGCCGAAGAAAAATGCACACGTCCGAGCGATGCCAAATTTTCCAACGTCTGTAAGACTCGGGTTCGGGGGACTCGGGTCGGCCTGACGGGGCCGTCATGAAAATGACCAGACCTAGTCCGAAGTTTGACGCGAGCTCCCGCTGCATACATCCCACGAACACTGGGCCCTCAAAATTCAGGATGCGCTCGCCAAAAAGCGTCGGCAAATCCACCCGAGTTCCGGCGTACTCGAGTCTTACAGTGGAGGCCAGTTCACAAGAGCCCTTCCACAAGAAACCCAACCCTGAGACCCCAGGACGTCCATGGGTTTCTGGTGTGGGAACGCCACGCGTTCCATAGCAGAACCATCGGCACCCAAGAAACCCAGGGCACCCTGGAGGCAAGCAGGGCGTCTCTTTCGAGGCCTCATAACCGGGAGAAGCAATTAAGGACCCCCCCGGCATTATCATTAGCACCGCGCCGTAATTAAATAATTATTTGGGGGGGTTTTCGCCGAGCGATATTATTAGCACCGCGCACATGGAAGGAAAATAAATAATTCCAGCGCCCCGCCTCGGGTGGCATCCCAATTAGAATTGTAATGAAAATAAGAATACGAATGCGAATAAGGAAAAACTGAGAAAAGCTAAGGATAAGCTTAGAAAAGCTAAGAAAAAGCTGAGAAAGCTGAGGAAAGCTAAGGAAAGGCTAAGACAAGCTAAGAAAAAGCTGAGAAAAGCTCAGGAAAATATCAAGAAAAGCTGAGAAAAGCGAAGAAAAGCTAAGGAAAAGCTGAGAAAAGCTAAGGACAACTAATGAAAAGCTAAGGAAAACTATTGAAAAGCTAGGGAAAAGCTAAGGAAAACTAAACTTAAGAAAAGCTGAGGAAAACTAAGGAAAAGCTAAGGAAAAGCTAAGGACAACTAAGGAAAAGCTAAGGAGAACTTGTGACCCTCGCAGTGACCCTCGCAGAGTACCCCCAAGGCCTGAGTATGGAGGAAGTCCAAGGCGGGAGCCTTGTCTGTGAGCTCGTCCTCCTCCGTGTCCTCCTCCTCCTCTTCCTCCTCCTCCTCCTCCTCCTCCTTCTCTTCCTCCAGCCCCCATTTTTCTAATGAGATTTCTATTGCAACCCCTTTGGAACAAATATTTTTTTCGGCCGTCGTAGGAGGTGGTCCATCCCAGGGTATCGCCCCCGCCCCGCACCGCGGCGTTATCTTAGCACCCGGCAGGACCAAAATAAATCCCCGAGCCAGAGTAGGAGTGGATCAGTGTACATGGTTACGGCACCGAACAGCGAGAGTCGAGCACTGGAAAGACGCGTGGCCACTGAAGCTCTCTGACTCCTCCGCATGCGTTTCCTCATTCTTTCAGGAGGGTGTACCCCCTCCTGGTGCCAGGATAACGCTTCCGGGTGCCGGGTGCGTTATCTTTTCACCGGAGAGGGGGGGGGGGGGAGGTCCTTAATCGCTTATCCGGGTTAGATGGGGTCGGAGGATCGCGCCGCATCGCCGATGCATCGGCGATGCATCGGCGATGCACCGGCGATGCATCGTCGACGTGGGCGATGCATCGGCGACGTCGACGTAAAGCCAATCGGGCTCCGCACCCAGCCGCATCGCCGCTGCATCGGCGATGCGGCGCGATCCTCCGACCCCGTCCGCTTCGACCCCGGAGGCCCAGACTCCTGGCATGGGCCCCCCGCTGCAACGCTTCCCGGGGCCTGGACTG